CACTCCAGTGGCAGCTGCATATCATTGCTCAGGACGGGCTTCCTAATGGTGATAATGGCGGAACATGCCCGCGCAATAGCATTGACAGGGCTGCGTATAGTCTCCACTGGAAGCACATGTGACAAGGCATAAGAGCAAATGGGGAACATTTCTGTTTTTTCACCTCTTAGTATAATGACTTGGATGTGGTATTGATTCTGTATCATCATGCAGAATAGAATTGGCAGAGTTGTGTAAGACTTTACTGGAAGTTTAATAAAGTCCATCCTCTATGTGGTTGCTTATGCAACCATAGACTCACCACGTGTTTACCAGAATGACACAACCTGCTGGGACTGTAATAACAGGGCCGAGCTTGAAATTAGTGTAAAGCAGAATAATCGGCCATGATTTAGAGACCATGACAAGCCCATCTCTAACTATCTGAAACTTTAAAATCACAATGTCCCAAAAAGTTTCTCTATTACCACATGTTACACAAAAAAATCAGAAGCAAAGAAAGTGGGGCTTTTAGGGCACCAAAACTGAAGAGCCACAACAACTTAATTACTAAAAATGTTATTTTATTGATTCCATGACTAAAATATTTTCATATAAGAAAAACATGGCCATGATAAAAACAAGTACCTCCAATATCCAGCTAATTCCAGAGTTCACGTATTTATAACATTATTAGTAGAATTTGATTGTATATTATATGATGTAAATGTTAAGCACAGTAAGTACTGACTGCATCAATCACAAAACATAATATCATAATATCATATAAAACACATTCAGTTCTAATCAGAAATTCATGTGCCTTAGCTTGAACTCATGGGATATGATGGAGGTGGAAAATATCTCGACGCATTTCGCGTGTATGTCACGCTTCATCAGGAGGGAGGTAGTCTAATGCAACAGTCCCAAATGGAGCCGGTGGATGCATGCGTGGCACATGATTCGAAGGTAGAGGAGAAACAGAGGCTCCCAGACAATGGGAAACGAGACCAGGGTCACCGCGGTATGGGAGTGAAAAGATCACTATGACTGACCAAAAATGATTGATCCAAGAACGGGTGCCTCAAATTTGTCGATCCATCTCGTATCCGCTGATGTAATAAACCCGGTAAGAGAGGGGAGAGACAAGAGGGTAACCCCTCGGTATGCGCAGTGTGTCAGGCCTGATTCCACGTAGAGGCCGCTGGTGCGTGCACGGTCATCCAAGCCGAACATCATGTTACACACTCAGCTGGGTAAAACCCCCACTTGCCGGTAAGGCTAAATGGAAAACTCTAATGCCAACTATGTTTGCAGAGGAATAGTATGATATTTGTGCCTGTCATTGGCTAGTTCCACCTGCGGTTAACAATTGTATATTATTTATCAATTGTATATCATTCATTAAACGTATCCATCTGTCTATCCCTATCTCGATTGCATAAAATGGCATGTATGGCCACCCAGAGTCACCGACAGGTGGGTAGAGGCAGCCCTTCTGCACCAGGCCCGGACCCCATTGGGTCAGCAAGGGGCCTGGCAGTGGTAGTGCCCACCTCACACACTCCATTCCTGACAAGCTAATCAGCAGCAGTACATCGCTTTATCTGCAGCATGAAAGCGATACCAGGCATCCCTTCAGCATTCTGCCAGCTCATCCCCAGACTCCCAGCTTTGTTGAGTACTCTAAAAACGCTGCATGACGTCAATCACCGCCCAGAGCACAGCCGAGCTCAGTTACCCACAGCTCCTCATCCTTGTCCTCTCGCTCTAAGAGAGAAACACTATTTATAGCCCATCAAGATATATTCATTAAATTGATGAACCCATCTCCTCATACCTTAACTCATTGAAAATTATAAATCAATCAGATCATCTCATATGAAATAATTATGCATAAGAACAGAAACTGTACCCTCAAGTTCTCCAAAATTCGGTACCCATGGTGTAACTTTATTCTCACAGAAGCACAGAAAAACAAGTATTTTAAATGCTGGTTTGTAGTTTTTTTTTCTTTCCATAAATGAATATATACAGTAGCTGCCATAGGAGGAGCGAAGGGATATATAAAAGAATGACAGCTCCGAGTCTGCTGGGGCTGCTGACATCACATCCAAGATGGCAACATCCAACACACGAAAGGCTTTTACAGTTAAATAATATGCCTAAAATACTTTAAATGCACTTGTTTTGTTGAAATCAATGGTCTAGCGAGCATACATCCATCCCAGCCTTCAGCAACAGCAATCATCCAGCAAAACACAACCTAGATGATCAATATTTCTCCACCAAAAACCATCTGAGAAGAATGCATTTGTATGCAAATCACTATTTAACCAATAGATCTACAAATATGACAATTGTGGCACAATCTGCAGAAATCTGATTACGTCCAGGGACAATTGTCATCTATCTACTAGTTACATTTGGTTTTAAATATATTAATAGTTAAAACTTTTTGTTGTTAGTTTTAGATAGAGTTGGGAACAGTTAAACCCCCTGTCAGTTTTTTTATTACTATCTCTATTGTTACTGTGGAGATCTACCCTCGATTTGTCCTGGTGACCGTGTTCAATTGGGACAGAAAGTGATGGGAAATGCAACATTTTATGGATGTTATTGAAACAAGAGGTGATTGAAAATCTTTTTGTTGTGTCTCCAGGACAGGAAATGAGAGGAAATCTCCCTCACTGGGACATAGACAGAAAATAAAAACTGACAAGCGGTTCTAATCATTTCACACCCTTACCAAAATCTTTAAAAAAATGTTTCAGCTAGACACATTGACAACCATCTAATGTTTATGGGTACCTTTGTTCAAGTTTGTAGCTTCCTGTTGAACTAATTTCAGCAAAATGTGCTGCTTCAAATACTCTGACCATTGACCTGAACCGTTCTGTTTATCTGATCATTGATAATGCTTCCATTATTGTAGCACATTAATCTGCAAATACGTGATTATGATTGTGTCTTAAAAGCGGTTGCCAATACAAACAGATCACAACCCCTGGAACAGAGCAGATTATGTTATGTGGTTTACTTTGAACAGCTGTAAGCCTTTCATAGAACATTGTTTGAGGAACTCTGCTCTGAAATTCTGCAAGGGACAGTGTTAGTGTTTTCCTTGCATTGGTAATGGTCCTTTTAGCTGTGAAAATATAAGTTACTTATGACCCCGCTTGGAGCTCCGCCCACCGGAGCAGCAGTGACGCGACGCTCGGCGAGGTAAGTAATGAAAACAAAAACAGCACAAGCTTCGGCGCTAGGCATCGGGGCATTTTGACAAGTACAAGTACTTGTCAAAATGCCTTGTATCGGGCCCGTTTCCGATGCTAGCATCGGTATCGGGGCATCCCTATTACTAACCAAAATTGGCTGTTACCGCAGCAGTCTTTTTTTGCATAGAAGTGCTTCCATTGGGTTCATCCAAAGGTGTCTTCCCAGCACCGTACCCACTATTTGGTATACTCGGGTCCAAAAGTTTTGCTCTTCAGCACAAAACTGCCAAATATGCTTGACGGTGCCCTCTGAAGAGTAAAACTGGCCTTACACGTTCTTCATGAACCGGTCAAAATTTGCACAGTGGGTGTGGCTGCCTGCAACCTTCCAGCTGGCATCCCTTAATCAGAAGATCAAAGGAGCTGGCTGGAAAATCAAATCAAATGAATGGTCAGCCATTCAAATGAAAGAGCAGTGGGGTGGGGATTCATCCATCAATGTATCTAAGTCCCTGTTAACTCCTAGGCATTTTGTAGCTCGAGACACAAAGCTACAAAATACAAAGGACTCAAAATCACAAGGGATCACATTGCTTTCTATGGTCCCTGTTCACACCTGAGCTTTCTGTCATTTGTAGCAAAATGCCTGTAGTTTGAAAAAGTACACAAGCTTTGTTTCAGACATATTTGAGTGCTTTTGTCCACAGAGATTTCAATGGAAACACCTTAAAAAGCGCATCACAAGTGGGCATTTTAGCAGGGTATCTCAGGTGCTACTGCCTTTCATTGGGCCGAATGGAAAGACACCTAAAGCTGAATGCCTGCAAAATGCCCACAAATGCTTCATAAATGCTTAAAAAACGGATGTATGTGTATAAAAACACTCAAAAATTCCAACACCCAATTATGAATCCAGGCTTAAGCAAGTTGCAAGATATGAGTTAATCCCCCTGGATATGCACGACAAAACTAAATATCATCTATGTAGAAATGTATAGATAGCCTCTACAGCCAATACATTACATCAACTTTTACAGTCAGTTTACACGAAAGTGCAACAAAACTCTCAAGACAAGAAATCCTGTTTATTTCTATGGCCCCTGTTCACACTGGAGCATTTTGTCACAAGTAGAACAATTGTCCCATAGAATTCAATGGTAAACAATTTCAAGTGTTTTTGCTCATTTTGTTCTGCGTTTTAGCACACAAAGTTTCCCATTGAAGTTTATGGAACCAAAAAGTGCTGTCATCTGCCAAATTGTAGCTTTTTTCAGCGACAGGCATTTTACTGCTTGTAATAAAATGCTCAGATGTTTCCTCTTACGTTGTGAAAATAAAAGATATTGATAGTTGATGTGGCCGACCGATACTTCTCTTTTATACAACTTTTACAAAAAGTTCAGTAATAAGCCATGACAGAGGTCAGACACTGTAGTATGAACAATATACTGTAATTTCGTCTTGGGAAAACAAGTAGCAATAGTGATAACACAAGCAAAGCAATAGTACAAATACATTACGTTTGAACCTATCCTTGAGGGCATTCATACTCTGCTCCTGAGATTACAGTCCCATTAAACACTGATTTGGTTATTAATTTGCTAAAAGACTTGGATAACAGCCAGACTGATATAGATAATTCTTACCAAAAGTCCAGATTACATTCCAGTCCCGACTCTCCAGTGTGGTTAAATATTATAGATAATAGCACCGCTTGCTCTTGAGTTTTGCTAATGGAAAAACAAAACAAAAACAGTTAATTTCTCTTGATTTGATAACACGATCAAAGTTCAGAAGAAAGGCCCATTGATGTTCTGTGGGTTCACAGTGTTGGCTGGTTGAAATCGAAGGCTCCTGTAGGGATGGCAGACTTGGAAGAGAGCAAAGAGAAGCCGGTGGAGAGGAAGGGGGTGAGTACCGGGGGAGAACGATGTACCCCACTATATACTTTTTATTCAATGTGATATTCCTATCAGCACAATCTGTATCTACAGCAGCTGTGCTGTCCAGCCTCACAACAACAGGAATACCAGCAGTGCCAACGTCTGCTGCTCCCCCTGGCCCTGAGAA